TCTTCCCACATTTCTACAGGCTGTATTGTGAAGAGGCCTTTGCTCAGTAAAAGTAGTTGAGGAGTCTTTATTCGCATCCACCAGTCAGCTGCTCCCCAGCCCTGCAGAAAAGCGCCCCAGGTGGTAACTATTATTACTTGCTAGTGAACCAGAAAAATTCTACCACCATATTAGTAAGAAACAATTGAAAAAGTTTAGTTCTTGATTTAGTGGTTGTTTTGAATGACATCCACGAGGGCCATCCAGAATCTTGGTCTGCCAGGCAGTGTATTTCTAAAGATACATCAATTTTTCAGCTGAAGTCCTAGACTTTAAACACTTTAAAAGTATGTTTTCATTTTGATCAGCTATAACTAGGCTATTTGATTACAGTAACTTAATAACCTTTGAAATCCTCCTCTACAAAAACCCTCATAGCTTAGAAGGGATTTTGTACTTCTATTAAATGCCACTTTGCAGCTCCTTAAACTGCTTGATCAGTTTCTAATCAATTTAGCTCTTGTTCCCGAAGCAGCCTGTCAGTGCTGAAATTAGAATTAAGCATCACAGGACAATTCAGGCTGTCACAGATTTTGGGAGGTCTGCATCCCAGCTTTCTGCTTTATATGGCCATCAGATCAGATCAGGTTGCTCAGGGCTTTATCCAGCCTGGTCTTGAAAACTCTGAAGGATGGAGACAGCACAACCTCTCTGGGCCCCCTCTCAACTGCTTTATTGCCCTCACTGGAAAAAGTTTTTCATTATGTCAAGTCAGAAAAGAAGTTCATGTTCTTGTTTATTTCAGCAAAACTCTCTATCTTCTGTCCGTCTTCTCATGTCAAACTATGGACCTGATGAAGAGATCATGTGGTGATGTTCTCTGGCCTCTGTTATGCTGGAGGTCAGATTAGAATAAATGCAATAATCCCCTGTGGCCTTAAATATCTGGATATCTTTCTCAGCAACTCTTACAACAGAAAAAAACATTCCATTCACTGAAAATCCAAACAAGACAGAATTACTTCCAATTTAAGGCTGCAATGAGGAGGAGAAAAAAACCTAAGGCAACTGAATTTGTCTTGTTTGGGCATCAGGGCCTGAAGGGAGCACAGCAGTAGAGAGCTGCTTGCGTTCTTGGCTCCTTTTTTGACGCTGCCTAAATACATATGGTGAAAGCTGACAACTGCAGTTCACCAAAAACTGCACCTGTCCCTAGGATCCACTGCTTTGCGCTCCAAATGATTTTTTCAGCCCTTTTACCAAAAAGCACGGGGACAGGGGAAAGGTACTTCTGAGGCTTTGGAGTATTGAAGTTGTCCATATGAGTCTAGGAAACACTTGAAAGGTGTTTAAATAGTGAGACTACTAGGTGCCTGGAAGAGCAACTAGTATTTACTGAAGAAAAAGAGTTTACCCTAAAGCTAAATAAAACTCCAGCACACTACAAAAATTCATGCTGGGGACTAATACAGATAGCTTCACCAGAGTAGCCTGAGTGGGCAGAGTGAACTCTCCTCCATTCTGTTTCTGCATTCCCACTCAGTGAGGGCTGAGACAGGTCAAGTTATATCTGTGGTTACATACAGACACTGCTTCCAGAGCTATCAGCCTCTTACATGCCTTAAATCCACTTAAAATGGACAAAGGAAATAGAGAATAATGGAAATAAGAACAAGGACATAATCGTGCCTAAAATCCTCTACAGGCTGTGAGGCCATTTTACAAAGACAGTCCTTAAAGCTTTGCTATACAAAGAAGTGGTCCTAATATTCAGCACCTGTTTTTGTCACCTACACACAATTCTTGACAGCTCTCCCATTCCCATACCAGCTCCCCTTTCTCCTGACAGCCAGGTCAGTATTAGTAGGAGAGCGGCTGGAGGAAGAGGCTCTTTACCAGCAGACAAATAGACCAGAATGACTGGAGAAAGTGCAGAGGAAATAGCACCAGACCACAGGAAGTATAGAGACTGGTAAGTGGCCAGAGGTCATCGTGCCAATGTAAACACCGAGTGGGTTAAACATTATAATAATTTATAATTCAACCACATTTGTTGTTTTTTTTTCAACCACAGAGGAACAACAACACCACAAAAAAAAAAAAACAACCCACGCTTGGCTATCCCTATTCTGAAATGATTTTTCTTGACAGTACCTTCTCAGTGAAAGCTGTGCTTAATCACAGTTCTTGAAATCCCTTTTTAGATAGTTTGTATGAGATACGTCAAATGGAAGAGGACAAGTTTAATAGGATTAAGCTGAGAAAAATGTGTTCAAGTTTCTGTGGACAGCTCCTACGAATCCCACTCTGGATCTCTTCACCAAGCTCATTTGCTAATGGAAAGGTCAGCCCAAATCCCATCCACTGGACATACACTTTTTCCAGAACAATTCTCTGCAGACCACATGCTACAAAGATTCGAAGTAATAAATTAATCTCTAAGTTACGGCCACTCAATGCTTTAAAACTGTTGTACTATTAGTAAGGACATACCTAAGCCTGTTTTGTTTCCACATTTGAGTATATCATCTTTCAAGATCTATTTCAACTTCTTTGAAGAATGAACAATCGTCATTTTCACCATCATTAATTTCTCTGAATGAAAATAGAGGTTTGCATTAATACTAAGCCTATGGTGCATCTAACCAAAGGCTGCTGCAGAACAGGTAGGAACAAACAGTACCCACACAATAACAAAACTTCTCTCTCTGATCAATTGTGAAATGCAAAACATCTAACAATACACATGCTGAGTGACTCTGTTTCATTCCATAGCTTGATAAGCAGTACTCAGGCAGGCTGGCAGGAAATATCATCTCCATTTTACAGGTAGGAAATTGATGTGCAAAGAAATCAGAAAGATTTCCTTGAAAGAAAAATTACTTACCTAGGAACAGACCCAAACTTCCCTTTGACCATTCTGGATGCCTAAGTAGGGACTTGCTGAGAGAAGAGGTACCCAGAATGCCAAATTCAACACAGTGTGCATCTGTTCCTGAATTGTAAGACCTAAGGCCTCCCAAGCAATTCTACCAACAGTTTCATACCACAGATTGGTGAATCAAGAAGATAATGAGAAGTGTGCGGGTGGCCACAAAGATATCTGCAACAAAGGCTCAAGAGGAGGGGAGAACGGAATACAGATGCAAGTGCTGCTCTATGGTATAATGCTCCAAAGGGTAGCTATAAAATTACGGGAATGTCCAGTCATCTTGGCCTATAACACAACGACGGCACAGTCCACCACTCCATGAGGGCTCAGGCAGACTTCTCCCCTTCCTTTGCGTCAGTTCAGAGTGGGATGAAGATTTTTCACAGACATCAAGCATTCCTGTTCTGACTTGTATCAGAATCCAGCCCCACTCTAGAGACCACAGGTCTTTCCCCTTCCTCGGTTTCTTCAGATTTGATTTAATCTACAACAGCAGGAGCTGCTAGGAGGAGAAAAACAGTAGATTGAGGGTATTTACTGATTCCATTCTTAGGCTTACAACAGGTAAGCCTTCAGGATAAAAGTTCCTCCAGTTGTATCTTACTACAAACATAAGGGGGGAGCACCTAGAGCTGAAAGCTTGTGTGTTGGTTCAGTAAAGCCCATCAGCATGCCAGTGTGTTTCCTGCTTCCCATGCTTGCAGACAGACCACATTTTCTGCATATGCAAACTGCAAGAGCATGGAGTAATACTGGAATACTCCAAGATGGAAACTTGGTATAACAAAAGGCTGCAGAAATACCAATGGAAGCAAAATCACATACTTCACTGCGCCTTCAACCCACATTCAATTCCAAAAATCATTCATGAAGAAACATAAAACAACAAACGCTTGAGAAATCAATCCCCTTTTTCACTACACAAAATATATGGTACTGCCTTCTTCCTACCTGCTAGTGTAGAAAAAAAAAAGTGATAGGAACTGGGAAACAAACCACAAATTTGTCCACCCAAATAGCTGTCAAGGCCAAGAATAAGGTATTTCAAAGGTCAGGAAATACTGATAGATGCAGCCTCTTGATGTATCATCTACCAATTAGCCCCAGGCCCTAGCTGCGTATAAACTGCAAAATATTCAGCTGAACTAATTTTAACATATGCGCATTCTTCTTGTTTGTTACTCATCTGGGCCAGGTACTTACATGTAACATCTCACATATCCTACAGCAAGCTCCCAGCTTTCCCACTTGCAAGAAGTGAATCAGGACTCATTAACTAAAACTGCTAAAAATTGCATAAGTACACTGCCATTTCTAAGGTATAACATCCTGTCTTTTTTTATTACCTGCAGCCACAGCTAAAGATTTAGGCTGTCTACACTACACAATACACTCTTCTGCAAAGTCTTCCTTGTACAGAGGGAACTATTCCAGCAAAGATACTTTCACCTGCTTGCCCCACTCTTCAGGAAAACTAGCAATAGTATTATAAAAGGAAAATTGTGCTGCCCTTAACAGCTCTCTCATCTGGGCTGTTTGGTTAAACCATAGCAAGACTTGTTAGTTATATATAGTCGTAGAAACAGTAATTTGGAAAATAATTCACTTCTCTGTCAGTTTTGGATGGGAAGTCAAGAGAGGGTGGGAGGGCAGAATTCCCTGCATTCTTGACTCTCCACTGCCTTGTGCTGCACTTTGAAGGGAGGGTATCACTCTAATTAGGCTTTGCTTTCCAACCATTCTGTATCTGCCTAAGTGGCCAGGCAAAGTGCAAAGCAATGCAAACTTGATCAGCTTTCAACAAGCTAATAATGCAATGCTGACCACCCTCAGTGATTAACTTGAGAGGCTTACCAGGGACAAATGGCTGGAATGAAAACATTTTAGGCTAACAAACCCCACCATATCTAGCAGCCACAGTTAACATTTTGTACATTTCACACTATTCCTGCAAGACCCCCTCCCCCTCCCCACCTGCTGTTTAAAGGCTTGAATTTCACAATCCCTAAAAATGAGGGTAGGAAGAGAACATGCTTAATACACACAATGAAAGACAGTTTATGCTTTAGGACTTCTTCCTCGCACTTACCTACACTCGTAGGAAATATATCCTCATTGTTGATTTGCACTTCGATCCAGTCCATGAGAAGATTCATATATTGGGGTGCTGGCAATGCTGTGGGCTTCTTGTACTTCATGTCATCCTGCCACCGGTACTCATACTTAGGGCCTCCAGACATCACTGGGCAGGTCCTCTCTGTGCAGAACTCACAGATAGTTCCATAAATGAGGTTGATCCTATTGAAGAAGTCGACAACATGGACAGCCACCCAGTCATTTTGGTCTTCTCCACTGGGCAACTGCACAGCTGCTTTCAAGTCCACGCCTGAGTTCAGAGAGGCCTGCGCTCGTTTGTGAAGTTCAAACCTCTGGGTTCCAGGTTCAAACTTGCGTTTTGGGCGGAAAGTCTTATCTTTATTAAAGACTTGCTTGAGTGCTATGGACATGTCTGCTAATCTGCTTTGCAGCAGTTGGCAGAAAAGCACGGCTGAGATTTAATGCAGGTATTTGAAAACAGTTGCTCCCTATCACAGGTCCTCCAGGCCCTGTTCTTTTTCTCAGAGAAGCTCGTATCAACTTCAGAGCAGGCTACTAGCTCTTCCTCTTGAAAGCCTTTCCGAAAGGCTTCATGTCCCTAAAGATATGGAAACAATATACATTAGTGTTAAGCTCAAGTCTGGCCCTGTCGCTTTGCTACTGTTTTACCATCATTTTCTAGTAATTATGAGCTGAAAAGCAAACATACAACAAGCTAGCCTTAAAAACTGGCCAACCCCTAACCTGATAAACATTTAAAAGAAAAAAAGCCTAATTTTTTCAAGTATTAAGGAATTAACTTCTCTGTCCTTTTAAAATATCTACCCAGAGGTTCTTAAGTTATCATAAAGATGGGAATTCAATAAATCTTGTATAATCCTCCCATCTTTAGATAATTTTTAAACCAACCTTTTCATTTTGCTGCATTTTTACAGCGACTGCATACCATACACAAGGTATGTATAAACTTAGTAGACAAAATACTATGTTACAATTTAGAAGACTTATGCTCCTTAAAGTGACCGATCGTGCCTCTAAG